TTCAGCAGCCAACCNATTTCACTGCAGAAAGCCAAAACCTCAGCACACGAGTTCTCAACTGCAGCCACTCTTTGTTGTATAGCCGCTATGGATTGCTTTTGATTTGCAGTTTCAGCAGCCAACCCACCAATTTTCTGCATTACCCTTTCTTCCGAGCTCTTCATTACTGACGACAACTCTTCAATAATGGACACTCTCTGCTCTTCAATTTTGCGCTCAACTCTGTCAACCATGGCTGTCGAGGGCACTTGCGGTGTTTTCGGGGGAGATGCGATTTTGCGTGTTGGGTTCTTGCGTGTAGCGGACATTATTAAATCCAAAAAAAATAAAATGTATAATTACAGGTATCAGCACTGTAGCATCACTCGTAGCAAACACGTACACTGATACACAGGTGTAGCACCAATTATTTGGAAATTTAAACTTTGTGTTAGAGCAAAAAGCGAGAAAGACTTATGAGCTCCGCACAAACACGTCTTATCCACTAAACATCTCTTTAGTATCCAAACGGCAAAAAATATTGAAGACTGTTGTAAAATTTTAGCTTATAAGACAAATAGGACAACTTCTGATGGTTGAAAAACACGATGGAGGTGCTGTTTAGTTGCAGCTTTGTCATGCAGAAAATCGAATTATTATGCACGACCATTGTAGGTATATGCTCTCGATTAGCGGAACATTAAAGACGGCAATCAAAACAACCTACTGCTAGGTGTAATGCCGTTAACCCACTGAGGGCTTGTGTGCCTCACCATCGTACTTCCAATTATTCATCAAAATAAATGTCATTTAGACAGATTTAAGTTAGCAATTTTTATGCAATTAATGATTGCAATCAAAAATTAATTGCAATCAAAAACTTATTGCAATCAATTTCTTCTAAATCATTGCAAATTTCAATTTTTGCAATCAAAATATAAGCAATCAATGTTAATTGCAATTAAACTAGATTGCAATATTACGTAAAATATGCCCTGTGAATCGGATCAGAATATTGTTATTTTTTTTAAAAAAAAGCACCCTGTTTTTTATGAGATATTCACGTAATTCTTATCTAATTAAAGGTCAGGACCCATAGCTTTTTTAATTATTTGGGCATCGATTCTCTTTATAGCCAGACGTTGATCATTTCTGCTGGAAATCCCCATTGAAGGAGCTTATTCTTTAACTTTAAATAGCAAAGAATGGACAGTTTTACCACAGAAGTTTTTAGCCAAGGATCGAATGTATATCCCTATGAAAAATATATTGCCCGACAAGACAAGTAAACAAAATTACTGTTTTTAAAATTTTTGCTAAAAATAAATTCCCCAAAGAGCCCCATTTGAAATTATTGAAACGAATATATGTATGTAACATCAAAAGCAAATCACGAAAATTTGGTAAAGAATTACAGTACACACTTTCTTATTTTTTGTCTGGTAGTTTTTTTAAGATTGGTCTAAAAAAATCATAATAAAGAAAGATACCNAAAAAAAACTTTTTAATATACAACGCTTTTATAAATGGACTAAAAAGTAGAAAATAATAATTCTAAGTCCCATAGAATTTGTTTTGATAACTACAGAGAAAGTACAAATTTGAGATCGATTTTAAGCGGTCGTTATTCATATATCAACATACATACATATATTACCCTTCATATCAATTCTGGCCTATTACATGCGCCCCACGCTTTTCATTTTCAATCTCATAAATTGTTTATAATGACTTTTGCTAAAATTTCAAAATCAATCCATTTCGACTGTAGCGTACGTAGTGCACAGGCCGACATCTACCTCTCGAACCAACGAGGTTCATATTTAGACTTAATAGGAACTTTGCAAAGCAAAGCTTTTATAGCTGTCTGGACATACAACATTGCGAATTTTCGGAATGCGAATGCGAATGTTAAGTCATCGTTTTTATTACATAAAAATTTTGTAAATTATTAGAACATTGAACGAGTGCTTAACCTATACAGTGTTTTAATCTTGTAGTCAAAGTTCAAAATGGGCGTATTATATTTCAAAAAAAGTAATTTTGCTGCCTTTTCTCCCATGAGGCAATTTCTAAGAGGCTCGTATATAAGGCCGGCTGCACTAAAAAATTGCTCACTTGGAACGGCGGGTGGAGCGCTCAAATATTTGCGGCCCAGATCTGTCAATATGTCGTATTTTTATTTAGTTTTCCACCAATCGAGAGGATTTTCACCGAGATCAGCCCGTTTTTCTTTAAGATAGGCCTTAAATTGAGCTTTCTTTCCACATTTTTTAATGTCTCCAGATTTTACGTCCGAGCCTTTGCTTTCGCTGGAGGAATCTAAAATTATGTCTAGGTTGTTCACACGACTTTTAGCAGTACTTGTTAATGGCCCATCGATGTTCATTGATATACTATTTAATCGTTTATCGCCTGAAGCTAAAAGCCGGTTATTTCCCGCACCCTGGTTAGACAGACTTAGAGCCATTTCAACAACATTAGTGTGGTCCAAAAATGCATGTGAAAAAGTAAAATCGCAATTATTATGCTCTCACCCCCTACGATTGTTCTATACCGAAGACAATATACCCTTATTTTTTTATTTTGAAATCAAGAAATATTTAGAGGTCGCTGAAAGCGCCCAAAGTTTTCCATGTATTTTATATGGGGAAAAACAACTTTTCGTAGAAATGGTATAGAATAATTAAAAATCAATATTTTTCTACCAGAAAACTCTGTTTACCCAATTATTTATTTAGCCATTTTTTCATCGTAACTTTTATTTATAGGTCCGCCAAAAACCCCGAAAAATGCAATGGGCGACCAATAAAAAACGTTAGTATTAAAAAGTGGTTAAATAAACAATTGGGTATTATTATTGAAAGTCTCCTGAAGAGAACCAGAGTTTTCCGATCGAAAAATATTGACTTTCAAGAATTCTATACAATTTCTACGAAAAATTTTATTTTTCCCAAATAAAAAGACACGGAAAACTTTGAGCACTTTGAGCGACCTCTAAATAGTTTTTGATTTTAAAATAAAAAAATAATGGTATACTTTTTTCGATATAGAACAATCCTAGGTGGTGAGAGCATTAAATTTCCGACTTTACTGTTTTTGGACCACCCTAGTCGACACTCTGCCCATGTACACATTCGCATTCGCAAAACATTCTATCATTTGATGGGAATGCGAATGTCGAATGCGAATGTGTAAAATGATGCAAATCATTCGCATTAACGAATGCAAATGGAAATATTCGCAGCATCCCTGGTATGTATTGTGTACGTGAGTGCAGTTTTTGTGTATGTGTTGTGTATATGTTTATTTATAAACGTATGTGTTCCTTTTCTTTTGTACGGTTTTATTGATATATCTGTACTGCAATGTTTTCAGACGGCTCTTACGGCCAATATAGGTGTATTACATATATGCATGCGCCCCACGCTTTTCGTTTTCAATCTCATAAATTGTTTATAATGACTTTTGCTAAAATTTCAAAATCAAAAGTTACTTTTTAGTCCATTTATAAAACCACGCATATTAAAAAGTTTTTTTATTTTATTTATTTTCTACTTGAGAGGTAGATGTCGCCCTATGCATTACGTCCGCTACAGCGGAAATTGACGATTAGGGAGATTTTTTTTTGCGACTATTGTTTTTTTCACTCCTTGTCGGTTGAAGTTGAAAGGTAGATGTCGCCCTATGCACTCGACTTTTTTATAAGAACTTTGCAAAGCAAAGGTTTTATAGCTAAATATGGTGTCTGGACGCACAACATTTCAAGTTGATAAAAGCGTTGTAAAATTGGTAAAAAGTCTACTCCCACGACCAGAGGCAAAAATATTGGCTACAATTTGTCATTTTGTTTGCCATATAGGTGTAGCCGAGAATCAAAAATATAAAAGTCTTTATGCTTCAAGATGAGAAATAGGAGTGAGTATTTATTAAAAACAAATGTACAAGTATATATGCATTGCTATTGCATGAACATATTTATGTATGCATGCCTGCATACGAACGTGAAAGAAGACAAAATAACGATTAATCTGACGCAATAAACAAAGCCAGGTACACAGCTGTTTGTTTGCCTAACACTTTCACTTTTATTGGTCAGATTATTCATTTTCAAAAAATGAACAAACTTTTAAGAGCGACTTTAAATTACTGTAATTTTAATTCTTCAGAGGCTTCGTGAAAATATCCGCCAGCTGTGTATTTGTTGGCACGTACTTAAGCGTGAACCCTTTGTTCTCATAGACCTCTCTGATGAAATGAAATTTGACCTCAATATGTTTGGTCCTCTTGTGGTATAGTGGATTCTTCACCAGTTTGATTGTGCTTTGATTGTCCAAACAAAGTTCTGGTACTGTGCAATTTCCAGATATTTCCTCCAGTAATCGTCGAACCCAAACTAGCTCTTTGATTGACTCACAAGCGGCCATGTACTCTGCTTCGGTTGTTGAGAGTGCTACTGTTTGCTGAATCTTCGACGACCACGAAATAGGTCCACCGCAAAACATGATCACATAACCTCCAGTAGATCGCCTGGTCCCCAAATCACCAGCAAAGTCCGAATCACTGAAGCAAGTCAAAAACAAATTATTACCCTTTTCAAATCAAATACCTTTACTGAGGGTCCCTCGCACATATCTGAAAATTCGCTTTATCAAGACGGTATGTTCGCTCGTATAAGTGTCTAAAAAACGACTCGCATACGACACCGCATAAGCCAGATCAGGCCGTGTAACCGTAGACAGATAAATAAGAGATACAACAGCCTCTCGATAAGGATATTGCACCTGTTGACTGCTCCCTGTATTTAAATGTGCACCTTCTGCTGGGGTTATGACAGGCTTGGCGTCGAGCATCCCAAATCGCTCCAATACTTTTGTTGCGTACGCTTTTTGTCGAATAAAAATCTTTCCAGGTTTCCTGACAACTTCCATACCAAGGTAAAATATCGATTCAAAAACTTGAATGTCGAAGTCTTTCGTAAGATGGTCGATCAGTTTACAAAGTGCTTCTGATGACTGTACTGCTATGATGCCATCGTCAATATAAATCGCAAGAATTAATTTCGCATCGTTGAAACTACCAATAAAAACGCAAGGATCCGCTGCACTAACTTTTAGGTTAAAATTCTCCAGCATCTGCGTAAATTGTTGATTCCAACATCTCAATGCCTGCTTTAAACCATAAAGACTTTTGCTCAGCTTACACAACCTGTCAGTTCCATCTTCGTAGCCAGTAGGTTGATCAATATAAATCTCCTCATTAAGAGTGCCATAGAGAAATGCTGTCTTCACATCAAACTGCTTTACTATCATGTCAAGCCCAACTGACATCGCAAGGATCATTCTAATGGACGTAAACTTGGCAACAGGGCTAAAAGTCTCAAAGTAATCTGTTCCGAACTTCTGCGTAAAGCCGCGAGCCACCAGACGCGCCTTTAAGCGTTCAATTTCACCTTTTCTGTCACGCCTGACTTTGTAGACCCATTTATTCGAAACTGCTGTTCTTCCTTTAGGTAAACTCACCAATGACGAGGTTTGGTTTGCTATCAACGAATTAAACTCCTCATCCATGGCACTCTTCCACTGCGCACAATAGTTACTAGAGACCGCCTTCTCATAGCAGTCCGGCTCATCAGTTTCAGCAACATACGCATAGCTTAGAGCAGCTTTAATTTCAGTCTCTCTACTTTTCGAACGTGTCACGATCTTACGTACCTCTAGTTCATTATTTGCATCTTTGATATCGAGATCTTTAGTAAAAATTTCGCCACAGCCATTAGTTCTGATTTCTGGATTGTCAGTGTTCGTATCTGGTTTTTCAACTGGAGATTCTGCTTCTACGTGTTCTTCATGTACATATGCGGGTTCTTTGCACGTTTCTCTGATGATAACATCCCTCGAAACCTCAATTTTTCTTTCATTAGGTATCCAAATCCTATAGCCTTTACAATTTTCCTCGTATCCGACAAACACGCCTTTCTTGGATTTCGCATTAAGCTTTCTTCGTTTTTCCTGGGGTATATGCACGAAAGCTTCCGATCCAAAAACTCGCAGCACAGATAACTCAGCCTTTTTATTAAACCACAATTCAAATGGCGACTTTCCGTCCACTTGGCATTTACCAGTCCGATTGAGAGTGTACACGACGTTATTCACTGCTTCACCCCAGTATTTCAGGCTCAATTCCTTGGCATGGATCATAGACCGTGCACCTTCGATAACTGTTCCCTTTCAGCGCGCCCATTGTGTTCTGGCGTATATGGTGTTGATTTTTGATGAACCACTTTTCTTTTACGAAATATATCTTCCACATCTTTGTTGACGAACTCTAATCCGTTATCGGACCGGATGCTTTGTACTCGCTTTCCAGTTTCTGCTTCAACCTTATCGAAAAAACGGTCAACAAATGCTGCAACATCTGCTTTTGATTTTATGCAGTAGACGCATCGATAATTCGAAAAATCATCACGAAATAACAACATATAGCGCGCACACCATATGAAATCTCTTGCATAGGGCCGCAAAGATCAGTGTGGGCAAGCTCACCTGGTAATTTAGCCCTGTTTTTGCATTCATGAAATGGCATCCGATGCTGTTTACCGAAAACACATCCCTCACAGAAATAATTATTGCTAGTAAATGAAATATTTCGTTGACTTAGGACGCTCTTCACATGGTCTTTAGCTTGATGACACATGCGTTCATGCCAAAGTTGCAGCGACTCAGATTTTGCACTGTAGTTTGCCGCAGCTTCTATGCCTTTAACCTTCAATAACAGCTTAAACAATTTTGAATTTTCTCGTACACCTTGTAACCACACCTTGCCCTGTTTTTTGAAACAGCAGGTGTTGCCCTCCGCCATCAACGAGTAGCCTTTATCTAAACATGCGTTGGATGAAAATAAATTCATTTTAATACCAGGTACGTATAGCACATCAGCTAAATACTTCGAGTTCCAGACGTTGCCATTATATGCTTCTACGTGAATGTCACCCTTACCATATGCTTGCACTATAGAACCATCCGCAATGCGGATGACATAATCATGGAACCATTGTTTGTGATAGGACATGTGCTCGCTAGCACCCGAGTCCATGTACCAACTGCTCTCACGTGATATGCTTGATTGAACGAACATAACCTCACTTACAAAGGCATTACCTTGTAATGACTTCTCTGCGTTTTTCTTGTTTGGGCAGTCTCGCTTCCAATGACCAGGCTTTTTGCAAAGGAAGCATTTTCCTTTCCTTTTATTGTTGCCCATATCGCCTTTGCTTTTAACCTGATTAGCTACGAACGCTCCTTGCTTGTTTGGCTGTACACCTAATCTAGATTCTTCCATACACAAACGTGCCGTAAACATTTTTAAGGTTCGTTCCTTTTTTTCAGTTGCTTCCCACGCGGCAAAGAAGTGGTTGTATTGCTCCGGCAATGTCATCAAAATTTTTGTTATAAGCATATTCTCAGTAATTTTCTCACCGAGGTCTTCTAATTGCCGTGCAATTTTCTGCAACTTCGCTATATGCATTGCAATACTGTTGTCAGCGTCTTTTACATATTGAAAAAATTGTTGTTGTAATAAGTGAATTGATGTATCCGACTTTTGTTCGTAAACGCTCTCCAGCGTAGCATACATAGCAGCAGCAGTCTCGCAGTTGATAATATGCATCAACGGTCCTTCGCCCATTGAAACGACCAGAATTTTCTGCGCCTTAGCATCATCCTTGATCCATTTCTTTCTGGGTTCACCATCAACTTCAGGTTGGGGTACAGCTCCACTTACAAGTTCCCATAGGCCGCCATTCTAAGCACTACCGTTATCTGGAACTTAAGGTCCAGCCGTCTTCACCTTCAAGTTTGTTGACTTTAATTTCTTCCATCTTAAAAACCGCAATAGCCCAAGAAATTTATATCAATACCGAAAAAAAACTTAGTTTTGCTTTTCAGGCGTTAAGCACCTGCTGGGTACATAACCTGTAGCCGAGAATCAAAAATATAAAAGTCTTTATGCTTCAAGATGAGAAATAGGAGTGAGTATTTATTAAACAACAAATGTACAAGTATATATGCATTACTATTGCATGAACATATTTATGTATGCATGTTTGCAGACGAACGTGAAAGAAGACAAAATAACGATTAATCTGACGCAATAAACAAAGCCAGGTACACAGCTGTTTTTTTGCATAACAATAGGTATACGTTTTATCGGTGCACTTGCACAACATTCGCATTCGCAAAAGCTCCGCATTGATTATTGCGAATGCGAAAGCGAATGCGAATGTTAAAATTAATGCGGAAGCTCCGCCGTTGCGAATGCAAATGCCTTGGTTCCGAGATAGTTCTTAAGTGTATAGGGCGGAACTAGCGCTTTAACAGACAGTCTCTAAATTTTAGTGCAGGGTATTAAGCAGTGAGGAACCGTTAGGCATCTATACATATGCATATTTTTTATAAATAAAAATTGAGGTTCCTTTCTCCTTATAATTTCGAAAGCTACTGAAGAAATTCAGTTTTAAGTTTCCTGTAAATTCGCCATAAATTTTGGTCGTGGACTTCAAAATCGTCATTCGCATAAAGGAGTCAATATTGGTGACAAGCAAAATTCAAAAGTGTGTGAAAAAAGAAGTCGAATTTCGACAACAGGGCGATACTTGTTACAATAAGTGCTTGAAAAGAAGACGAACTGCAATATTTATTACAAGTCGCAAAAGATTGTAACCCAAAATTTCCATAATTTGCAAAAAGGTCTCTTATGAATATAGAATATGTTCTATATTATAGCACACTTAGTGGAAAAATAAAATAAAAACAATGTTTATATTAACTTAAACAAAAATTTCAAATTTTGTGGAAATATGTATATTTTACAAATGCCTTAAATAAATTATAATTATTTATAAAACCATTTGGTTTATTATCGGTGATTTGGAAAGGTTGACAAGAGCTTGATTAGNGCCTTAAATAAATTATAATTATTTATAAAACCATTTGGTTTATTATCGGTTATTTGGAAAGGTTGACAAGAGCTTGATTAGCTAATCCAATAATTCAAGTCATTAATGGGAAAGGAATTTAAAAAAAATATATAAAATTGGGCTATTTCAAACGTCTGCCTCAATGCGCAAGTTGTAAACCACCCGCAGTCGGCCTCAAATTTTGTATATCGTAGTTTTTCCATTAACCATACTTTTTAGGGGGTGTCCCGATTATATGTAATCACAATTTGTAATGCATGAGCAAGAGGAGCCTATATCGACTGCTGAGTGGAAGATCGACCTATCTCGGCAGCCAGTTCGAAAACGCCCTACCTCAAAAAACTTTTCAACAACGCCCTATGTCAGAATTTGATTGAAAAACACCCTATCTCACTTCAAAATGCATTGAAAATGTAATGAGATAGGGCGTTTTTGAATCGGCAGCTGATATAGAAAAACAAAAGTTTATAGAACCTTCCACTTAGGCTTAAATTAAAGCTATAATTCTCAGCTACTATCCCTGAAAACACCATCCCTGCACCTTGAGCTGATAGTAACTAATAGTCATTTATTGAACAATATAAAAACACCGAAATACTGTGCTATTGAAAAAATAATAATTAAACAAAAATAAAATCAGTTTTTGCTGTTAAATATATAACTAGAAGTGACCTTAGGGTTAGGATTGAGGGATAGAATTTTAAGAGATTGTAGTCGAAAGTTCAAGCCTTAATTTGAAGGCTGTATCGCATTTTGTTTAATTGCGGTGGGGACTCAAACTTCGCACAAAATCAGGTTTTTCTGTTCAATAAATGACTATAAGTGACCATCAAGTCAAGGAGCAGCGAGACTTCTAGCTTTAATTTAAGCTTAATATCGCCTTTTGTTTCTTTCTTAGAGCTTCTAAAATATTGCAAGAAAACGCGATTTTTTGACAATTAGGCCTGGTTTTTCTCAGAATCTGGAGCTGATGGAAACTTTGTGCTTACGGATTCGTAATCTGCACAGAAAAGTCAATCAATAACTGCTTTAACATTTGCCACAACAAAATTTTTCCCCATTTTTGTTCCCTTGTGTTATTAAACATAGAATTAAAAAACACCAGGTAAAAATCACTCGTACGCCATGTTTTCTTATTCATTGCAAATGTTAATATCAGCCGTAAAATAAACAACATAACATTATTTAGTTTTATATGGAAAATGTTATACATGTTGCCTAAAATAAGCATTTAATTAAATTGAATAACTTAACTGAGTTATCTAAATTTAATTGTATTGTATTTGCTTATACTTATTGAATTGTATAAACCACATAACACTACCATCAGTGTTCATTCGTTGCTATTTGAAGTTTGTTAATTTTTTAACATTAGTAGTTAAGCATTGTTATTGTAGAATAAGTCTGTTTACGCGCAGAAGAGTATAAAAGCGAGGAAATATTTTGTAAAGTTAAGCAGTCGCCAGTAGGCAGGCATACTTGTCGGTGGACACACACAACCGGCAAGGAAGCGCACCTGGGAGTATCCACCTTACTTGCGTTTAGGCTTATATTCAGCGGAGGTTACCACTCCCGCCGACGGGTAAGGTTAGTGGAGGGATATTCACTCCCACTGCCTTTAAGCGTTCTTGATAGGAGTTCCTAAATTAAGAAGTGTATTTAATAAAGAAATCGATTGGAAGTGAAGTCTTATTATTTTAAGGAGTAGGAATTTCCATTTCAGGAACCCTGGACGGCCTTAGCTCACCCCGGCACTACAAAGTTCGTCACAAATGGCACCCGAGCAGGTACTTTGAGAAGTCAACGAGAAGTCTACGAGAAAACAACGAGAAAGTAACGAGAAATAAGCGAGAAGTCAACAACAAGAGAGCAACGAGAATATCAGCAAGAAGACAACGAGGGTACGAACAAGAAAATTTGCAGCAATGGTGAAAGTGACGTGGGTTTACTACCTCAACCGAGAGGAACTACTAACATACGCCACCGAGTTCTACTTCGAGAGTTCTGGAACAGTGGACGAGCTTCGTAAGCATCTCTCAGCCCTTATCCAGACGGAGAGTAACAACGCATGGCTCAGGGATCGCTTCACTGAATTGGCCCTTCGGCATGCACGGCCGACCATTTCGATGAACCCGGCAACACCTAAGGGGACCAGCGGACTACCACTACCAGGTAATAGTGAGCCGCCACCTCCGGGTACTGCAAGTGAGGACGGAAACACAT